TACAAACAAAAACATGTAAATAATCAAATAATCAAGCTTTATTGGCATAAATCTGTTTACCAACAGAGTAACTGGAATTTCACGTCTAGATATCTTTAACTTGTAGTAAGCTTGTAGTATATTATGCATCGGTACCAAATACTGGTTTTGACATTGTATTAGTATGATGAATGTGGGTGTGGTTTGGACACAATGTATATTAAAGAACTGGGTTAGTCCCACGATGGAAAAATAGGAATCAAGTTGCAATCTGAAAAACTGAATTGAAAGTTTTAATCTCGTTGAACACAAAATTATTATTTTTTGTTAATATAGTAAAATCATTCTAATTTTCGTTCCTTAATGGCAATAGATCCTTGAACTTCACATGCTGATAACTTTTTCCAGAACAGTCTGAGTTTCGAATTGTTTCACCAACGGATTGCAGATGAGCATTTGAAGGGCTTAATTTTCACTTCAAAATAAGACCTATCACATGTCCGAGATTGGTGGCCATGGCCGAATGGCCCTCACCCTAAATACGCGACTGCAAAATATGCAATGTAAATATGCATTCTGCCAACTTAAAATACAGTTAAAATAATGTGTTGCCATACAGTACCAGATATAACGATAGAAAAAAGAAATTCGAAATAAAAAATGGTTTTAACGCGAAAACATTTTAACACCTTCACATCTCCAAATGAGTGCAATGATGGTGCAAATAGTTAAATGTTAAATTATAATGTAGACAATAATCAATGTTCAGCTGTTGTTTGTTTATTGAAGTGTCATGTTGACTATTAATTGCACACAACCACAGTGGCGGGAGGGTGTGATTTGGACCCTTGAATATGTGTTAAAAGTCTTCAGAGTACACAATGGCTAAGAAGGCTAAAATTTCGACGGTAAGCTGTGAGGACTATTACTTATTGGTTTAGCTGATTTACATCAGAAAATGGTTAACCATAGCTCTAAAATGATTCAAACAATAGACAAACCATTTGTCAAATAAAACGAATCCCCCACTTTCCGTATATGACAACATGATTTTTTTCACTATACTCATGACAACCGATTATTGTAAATGTGTTAAAATTAAATGTGCAGTACAGAAACCAGACATTGCACCAAAATAAGTCTAATATCTAAAAATGTAGTTTTGATTACAGCAAATAATCAAATACTAGTCAAAACATACACAATTTCATGTTGTCCCAGGCTAACGTCAGCGTTATTTTGCAATTACTTAAATTGTTACTCAGCAAAATGTTCAGTTGCAAAAAGACAAACGGAACAGGATGAAATATCTACCACATTTAGACGTATACTGACAATCACCCAAGGCAGTATGACATTTGTGTGTCACATAGTTGTCATCAACATTAACGTAATCAAAACCAGTCACATACACAACTCCCCTTAAAGTGTCCTGATATTAAGCATCCGAGTCAATTCAAAGTGATTATAAATGAAACTTTTACTGTTGTCTTGTTACTTAATTTGATTGCATCTGAATTGTTGTCAGCAGTTAATTTTGAAATAGCTGGATCCAAGGAGATGTATTGAAATACCGCTTAAAGCCAAATGCTCTTTGATACAGAACATATTATCTCACAACTGCAATACTAAGATTAAGTCACTTGGATTTTTATGATTGTGGGCTTTTACCAATTTCCCGCAGGCTAAATTAAAACAGGACTTGTGATTTATGGTCTCAGTCGACAGTATGAAAGCCTGTATTATATCTACGTCTTAGTAAAATTTGACATGACAGATACGACAAGTATTACAACATTTAAACCTATTTACGTTTCAACATACGGATGAAGAAAATATAAGAGATTTTATATCAGTTTTATAAAAGTCAGGTGAAATAAGATTCAGGTCACAGAATAAATTTAGAAATTGAAGAACGAAAACAAATATTACTATTTAGGACAAGAAACGAAAATATAGATTGAAAAGTGAAACTAAGGACAACTACAAAACGGACATTAAGGACATTTCTGTGAAACGAGCTAAGGACAATAACGAAATACAAACGAAAATAAGGATAACCACGAAACGAAAATAGAATAACCGTGAAAAGAAAATAAGGAAACATTTCGAGAAAAAAGAAAGAGCAAAACGCATCAAATATATAACGAAATAAACCTACGATAAAAATCAAGTATCAATCAATTAAAGTGAAAAGTTTCGAGAACATTTTTTCGCCATATGCTTCCGACTAATTAATCACGATCTGAAAATATTGATATGTTGATGGTTTGATTTAACAAGTGTCGTGCCGAATAAAGAGTAAGTAAACCAATTGATTTTTATTGATAAAATGTCACTTTCATTGTTGTTTATTCTTATAAATATAATTGTTTATTGGAACTAAAGTATTGCGATTTCTTCTTTCTCCCATTCAGGTAAGCAGCAGTTAGTTTAGATTTATATTGAATACACATTATCTTTATTTAAACCAGGGTTTTTTAAATCCAAGGGATTCTTTTGGAATTTTTGGGGTTAATGAGGAACTTTGTAGTCTGGCATAGATTTTTGGGACAATTATCAATTAATTTAGCCCTATTTAGATTGCAGGAAAAAACCTTAGATAAAATCACGAAATAGTAAGGTTTTTTTAGGTGAGGGGGGCAATTCAATCAAGGATCACTAAAGGGATAATAGAAAGAAAAGGGTTGGTAACCCCTTGTAGTATGGCCCAAAGTGAATTCTAATTATGCCGCCTTTGGGTTAACTATGGATTAGTCATAACTAATGCCCGTGGGTTATACCTCCTGTTTATGTACTTCCACAGGAAATGAATTTCTAGCAGTCCTTGGTCCAAAGTTGGAGCAGATTTTTTTCAATACATGGAACGGCAATTTCTGTTAGCAGCAGACTATTACTCCAGAGAGGTATTTTGCCTAAAACTGCTACTTCATTTACAACAATTAACCTACTAAAAAGATCTATCGCAGACAAGTTATTCCAGATGTCCTGTTCACAGATAATGGTCGACAATTGTCTTCTGCCGAATTCAAGTCATTTGCAGAAGATTGGCCATTTCAACACAACACATCATCACACTACCCACAATCTAACACGGAAGCTGGACGTGCCGTTAAGATGATTCTAAAGAAATGTGAGGATGAGTATTTAGCCTTACTCCAATACCGGAACACACCTCACAACTTAGCATGGAACAAAACCTAAGATTTAGAATTCCATGTCATCCTGATGAATTGATGCCTTTAACACCCGATCAATATCTTGTCATAAGAAGGGAGAGAGAGTACCGGAATAAGTAGACCGAAACATCTGGGGATCTTTATCCAGGCGATGAAGTTTGGATTCCAGATCTTCGGACAACACGGTCTGTCATAAAATGGCATGATAGCCCAAGAAATTACTTTATTAAAACAAGAAAACAACCTAGAAGTGCGAAGTAATCGGAAGATAACTCGCAAGATACTCAAGTCATACTCTGCTCAAGATGATAGACCAAACACAATGACCAGGTCAAACCTAAACCAAACATTCAGGATGTTCCACGTCAATCAAGAAGAATCAAAACTAAACCAAAACGATTCATTGAACAATTTTAAAAATGCATTTATTATAACTACAAATTTTTCAAAGTGCTTCTAGGCCATTAAAGGGATTGTAAAGAAGTTTTCTAAAATTTGTATATGTATGGGGACAATTCTAGCATCAATTTGCACCATTCCAATTTTCAATCAGACGTCTATGGTTCAAACAATTCCACAAAAATATGTGTTTGTATGATGCACTAATCGCAAAATATGATTTATCACATAAAGTCATCACTTATTTTAAGAGGAATTGCAGGAACTACAAACGTCTGATTAGCAATTTTGGCTGCTTGCATCTCTTGACCTTTAGTAACATAAAAATGGGGTTGTGGTATGATATATTTCATTAAATATTGATACAATTATTATACAAGTGCAATATGTTACACAATTCAATTTCTGGTTTTATACAATTCATATGTTAAATATTCATTGAACTCATTCACAATTATTGTTCAAGGCCTCCAGTCCAGAAATATACAAATCAATTTGATATTATTCTCCATCGTAATGTTAAATTGGGGACATGCGACGAATTATTTGGTATATTTATATCCATATTATAATCTAAAAACTAAGGTTATGGACAACAATTGTGAAAAGTATACCTTTTTTTTAAAAGTGTCATAAGCAAATGAATATCAGTTCAAAAATATGAAAATATATTAGTTTTATAATGCCCTGCCCTATTTTCTCAAGTTTTGGAGTGGTCAATATTGTCGCCAGCTGACAGATAGTTTGGGATTCTCTTTTTCATTTACTCTGGACATTGACCTTTATGGAGCGAAATATGGAAAGTTTACATTTATAAAGAATTAAATAAGCATTATTGTACCTAAAGGAATAAATAAAAGTTGGTCAATAAATGTCGTAAATAACCCAATTTCTTTCAATCGGCTGTTTCATTTATTTAAATGACAATATTTGGCATTTTAATCATAAATCAATACCTCTTATAATGATTTACCTTTTTTATGATTCAAAAGACTTAAACATTTTGGGATAGGTCTTTAATCCAAACAAACAATTGTGTTTCATTAGATCCATATGTTACTCGATTTCGGCTTGACATCATTTAAAAACGTTTGTTGGGTTGGTAATAAACAGGAGTTTGTATGATCCCTTTGACCAAAGACTACAAGTTGCCGAATTTTTTTTTCTCTTTTTTTTTTTGCTTTGCACAAAATTGCACCTTATCATTTTTGCTATAGCCAATCGATTATAATCCACTACGTAATTGCGTTATATTAGAAACATTTTAATGGTATTAATTGCACATCCTTGAAATTGGGATAATAGCTCACTGCCCACTGTTACTATCTGACACTACATACATACTTGTAGTTATGCAACCTAGAAAATTAAAGATTGATTTAAATTTGATATTCACTTTCTTTTTTTAAATAATACTATATTTTGCTATTTCATTACAGAATGGGTTTTAATTACCTACTATCGTTATCTATTCTTGTGGCTGCAATAACCACTTCACAGTAAGTATGCAAATTATTATTATTATCTCATAGTCGGCTCAAGAAAAATCTAGGGTATTTATTTTTCTTTTGGTAATTTTCTCAGGAAGTCTTCCAACGATTTTGTTTGAATAAGTGCCATGCCACTATTCATAAATATAAATATCCAAAAGTTCCTCTTGAGCAAAACATATATTCAATAACAATAGATTGGTTGAAATTTCTGATTCGTGATAAGGTATCCATTTTTCAGTAATACCCAACAGAAAAACAGAATATATATTGCTTCCATACCACCCTTAGCACACGACTGTTTCTACGTGTGGATTAAAGGGTGGAGGGGCAGAGGAGGGTGGCAGGCCATGTCAGTATTTCAGAACTGGTTCTGACCTTCACTAATCAATGAGTTCTTAAATGCCCCCACCTAAGGATTCAAAAAAACTCCCCTGCAAAATAGACCAAGAACCTTAAATATATATTATTTGTTACTATAGGAAGACTAAACTTTATCACACTTCCAAAACATGTGAGTTTTGAGCCTCTTAGATTTGTCATAGTTTTTCTTTTTAACTGCAATACAACTATTTTTTTCCAGATGTGTAAAAGATGCCAAATACATGGTTTTATTACCAAAAAGCTTCCGACCATGTACCCCCTATACATTTAGTGCCCGGGCATTGGGCAAAGCATCTTATACTCTAACAGCTCAAATTGAACACGGTAGCTCAAATGACCCTACAGTGGTTGTTGCCAGTAAACCTGTCAACATAAGTAAGTTCATTTCTAGATTTGAAACACGGTTCTACATTTTCTATTAGTTCTGTAAAAGACTCTGACTAATCTGGCAGTATACTTGATTTAATTGTTGTACAGTATACCACAAACCTGTCTGACAATTTGGAGAATTATTGACAGAAATAAATGTTAAGGGGAGCTCAGGTAATTTGCTCATTTTTATTCTGTAAATCTGCGACCACCCAGTTTATCCAAGTCGCTTATATTGAGTTCGACGAATGTCATGCTTTGAATCGCTAGTCGACTTGGGCCCACCTGAGGATTATCTATATCTTCAAACTTTATCCAACCTTGATGTTTAAGTCATCATGGTTTGTGTAGTGACATAGATCATGCTTAACAGTCTGTCGTATAATAATAAAACTACTTCTTTTCAGGAACTACACGAAAGATAACAATGACGGTGAGTTAGACATTATATACAAGCAAATTTCCACAACCAACCTTTTGTATCCTTACTTTTAACAATACATTTTAGGTTTCTCTTCGATTAAAATGAATAATGCGCTTCTCTAATTCACCAAATGATACATAACGTTGCTTACTAAAGAGTTTTGGTTGAAATTATTGCTTCCATTTAAGTTAATTAACATTTGTTTGACCATTGTTCCATAGCAGACTGTATATTTTTGAATTTATTGCTACATTAGTATTATGATATGATAAAGATTTTTTTTATATTGCAGCCACCATGTGATTTAACGTGGAAAAGTTACTATATAAAGGTCACAGGAACTGGTGGAGCAAACTTTACAGATAGACAATATTTGAATTTTAACACTAAAAATCTGGAAATTATAATTCAAACAGATAAAAAACTTTATAAACCAGGACAAACAGGTACTTGTTAACTTATATAACGTACTATAATCAAACCTATACTTGTAATTGTTCCAAATTTACGCGAAGAAGCGGTTCTTAATGTCTTCATAGTGGACTTCGTTTTTATATTGCTGAAGTAAGTTTACATTGCCTGCGTAATCAATGTTTCTGAAAAAAAGTATTTAAGTAAGCCAAAAAAAAAAAAAAAAAAATGCTGAGTGAATGCTTCGAGTTTCAGCATTTTGAACCGCGAACATATCATAGGTCCTTAAAATTGGGCAACTGAATCTGGTTAATCCAAGTTACTAGTTTATCGTCTTGAAGGCAAAATTCACTTATTTATCATTATATGCCATCAAGATAACTGCAGTGCACAGATAAATTCATATATCATCTACTTCTATTAACAGTTAAATATCGAGTATTTGGTGTGAAGCCTGATTTACAAGCAGTACAAGATACATTTGAGGTCACAGTTACTGTAAGTATAGATTTGTGTTTTAATTACGACCTGAAGTATATCCATTAGCATATATTATTGAAATATATTACCTTGGTCAATTCAATTCAAGAAGAGCTCACATCGTATACAATAAGAGTTAACCTACTATAAGCAAAGGCAAACAAATACAAAACCATAAGACAAATTCCAGAAATGAACCATAACATTGGACCACACTCTGAAGTATCATTAGAAATGAGCAATATAACATTTAAGTGATGGGTAAAATATGTAATATGTAATAAAAACTGTTCGTCCAGGATCCTAAAAATAACAAGATTCAACTTTTCACCTCAAACGGCGATTCTTATGGTGTTGTTGAAAATGAATTGAAACTGTCCAGTGAACCAATATTTGGAACATGGCAGATTAAAGCTTCAACCAAGGTAAGATTGAAATATTCCATGTTATGTTTCCTTAAAAGCAATGACTTGCTTCACTTGAACTTGAAGATCTTCCCGTGTCGAGAAAAAACCTCTGTTGCGGTATATGTGAAATATTTGTTGATGGGGTGTAATCAGTTAGAGCGAAGGATTCTTGACATTTTTTGCTTGTTTCAAGAAATAGTTGTTGTATTCTCAAATCTGAGTGAATGTCTAGTGCCCCTGAAAAAGTTAACTCTCCTCATTTCAATGGGCTAAGATGGTATATAGGATCTTCAGTTTTCTACTTGTGAAAGAATTAGAATTTTGTGTTGCTAAATGTTTACTCTGTCCTCAAATGGAAGTAAAAATTCAACTCATATTTCACGAATATTGCAGGTATATTCATGTTAAACAATTGTTTTCCTTTCAGGGGTCAGAACATGTTCAAACATTCAAAATTGAAAAATATGGTACGTTACAGCTCAAATTATCTCACACTCGAAAGATATATTCAAGAGTTCTTTTTAATTTAAAACAATGCTTCTATTTCTTAATGCTCCCTTAGCAAAGATAGTATGTTGTGGATATTATCTTACCGTTGCTAAAGGAACAAGCTATTTCTTATGCTTAGACATCCCAAACATCCCTCCAACGGCATTGTTAACACAATACAGAATTTAACATTCATCAAGATGTATTGATTATAATTTTTGATAAACGTTTAAGAGGACTGCGAGGGAGATTTTGATTTTCTAATTGACACATTTATTTCATGTCCAAGTTTTACCAAAGGCTGAAGCTAAAGTTATTATGCCATCCGTTGTCGGTGAAAAGGATACTAGCATATATGTTAAAGTTTCCTCACAGTAAGTCAATACCATTTTACTTATCCTGATCTTCCACATAAACATTGGTACCTAAATACTATAGTTTGAACTTTTCAATGCGATAGATGTATCAAATAAACAAAATTTGTTATGGGATTTCTTGGAAACCCAGTCGCAAAATGTCACCGAGTGTTCCGGAAGAGTGAGCGTGTATACTTGATTTGCAGCATTGTTCGTGGATATGTATCATAAACCATTTTGGGTGTATATGGACTGCTTTTCTCGATTTTTCATAGTTTGACTCTTTCTTCCTAATCGCTTCAGAGATTCGTCAAACACGATTCTATCAAAAACTTGGGAGTTCTCAAGGTATATATTTTTTACCTATTTTGTTGACAACTATCAGACAAATCATAAAATCGGAGTGATTCACATATACGTTTACGATTACGTAAAAGTTACGATGTTTCTGTTTACTTTACAGATATACATTTGGAAAACCTGTAAGCGGTCTTGCTGAAATTCGAATCAAAGTAAATTGGTATGCTACTAGAAAGTGGCAAAAAGATCCAGCCACAGGAAAATATGGTTATATAGACGTCACACAACCCGATCTTATGTATGAGATACAGGTAAAACACCAACCTACATCGGAATCATCAGGTTTATTACAGCTGGCTTTTGGGAGCTACTATCGAATCTGTATACGTAATGTACGTAACAAACGGCACATGTAGACTTTGTAAAGGATATAACGAAAAGGTAGTATGTGGTGGTTTAAGTAATATTTTTTTATTTCTTTCAGCTTGATAAAAATGGAGAAGCATCTGTATCAATACCCATGACAGAATTAAAGACAATAGCTTACAGAAATTCCATTTCCTATAAAACGATAGTTGGTCAAGTTAATGTCACAGATAAAGAAACCGGTGCTAAATATATCTCTCAGCCCAGTCAGGTCTCAATTTCAAGAACCAGAGAAAAGATCAGCTTTGCTCTGAATCCACAGAACTATAAACCTGGATTCGTCAACAAACTCTTTGTAAGTACTTATCCTGGTATCTATTAATAAGGTTCTTTTTGTTGAAGTTCCAAGATCTTCCCGTTTACATGTGTGTATTAGTAAGACTTTGATATAAAGATTTCATAACCGCTAGGTACAAAGGATCTCTTCGCATCCTTTTGTTCTGTATTGTATTGTGTACGCTAAAAAAAATAAATAAATAAATAAAGTTGTGAGTTCCTATTCCTGTATACAAAGTGATTTAAAATTTATCATTTTAGATTGAATTAAGACAACAAGATGGTAAACCAGTACAAAATCCCAAAACAGTAACAGTAACTAGTAGAGTCAAGGTTGAGATTATCAAACCTAAAGTTTTGAAGGAACCTACCACTACACCAAAAGCAAAGGTACCAGTAGCTGTCCCTGGAGAACCAGTCCCTATCGAACCTGTTATGGAAAGAATGATCGCATTGCCTTACCCAAAAATAGATTGTGAATCTCCCGAATACGAATATAAAGATTTACCAAATAAAACACTCAGTGTTCCTGCCAATGGTTTGGTACCATATGATTTACTTGTTACAGAAGAAAATTCCAGAGAAGTCACTTTAAAGGTATGATATTTAAATAATAATAGAGTCGGTTAATTTGTTCAAAGTGTTAAGCTTCAAAGTTTTCGAATCAGTGGACAAATGCACGATGAACCATTTTAGACCGAAAAGTAGAAAAAAATGAAACACCCGTATCCATATCACAAAGATAACAACTTAGGTTCCATTTATCCTTTATAACAGCCCATCCTAGCAAACCAATACTTATCAGTACTTGTTCACAGATATATAATTTACATTTACTATTAAGATGAGATTTTATTGTAACACAGCCACTTAATGTTTTCTGTTTTATTATTTTAGGCTGTTTATGATGGTGATACAGATGTCACAATTTCTCAAACATTAACAGCTTTCAGATCTCCCAGCAACACGTTCCTGTCGCTAACTCTTACTACACCAAAACCGGCATCGGGACAGAAAGCTGAATTTGTCATCAAAGCTACCAGAGAATTTGATCTGGTATATTATACGGTAAGAGGTTTTGTCGAGAGGATTCTATTTTCAACCAATAAGACTATTTGATCAACATAAATGGGGCAAAAATTGTCTTGTTTTGACTGAACACACACACGTTGGTTTTGCCAAATGGTGGAAATGTTCATAACATGTCTACTTAATGATATAGTAAGCATTTGTAATTGTTAGTTCTGCTATATAATTTACTGTAGTTGACAAGACTAAGGGTACATGTACTATGTTTTAGGAACAATACATGTGCCTCTAATATCTGAACAATCCAGACCAATGTAATTTCAATGAATTGACTGAGTGGGACTTTTTTCCAGGTCTTGTCTCGAGGATCAATTGTATTGTCCAGTTTTGAACAGTTTAACTCTGTTGCAAGAGTCCAAAAGTTGGTCCTTCCCATAGAAAGTCTTATGGCACCTAAACTAAGAATTATTGCTTACATTCGAGTTGAAAATGACGAAATTGTAGCTGACGCTATATCCTTTAATGTCGAAGGTGTCTTCAAAAACAAGGTGAGTTAAATCAATAGTTTTTGCTTCAAAATAAGACCAAGATATAAATTAGTTATACCCATGTAAATTAAAGAATAACACATGTCTGTGCCATGTATACACTCGAAAAGTGGTCGAACTTACGACTGGGAAACTGGGCTTCAACGACTGGTCAATGATACTGAAAAGTAACAGTTGCTGTCAATTGTCAACAGTGGTTTTTCGTGTTCTCCTGGGAAAGCTTGGATCTAGTCAACAAGAGCAGTCAGAAGCTGCTTCTATTCAGCTGATCGCAATTTTTAGCTGCTGATTAGGACCATGTCGACTGCAAATGATCCCATGAGGTTCAGTGACAACCCTTCACAGTAATGAGTATACGAATGTACTGTCCTTTTGTAGACATGTTTTGTTTTTTAATTCTGGGTACTCATTGAGGCTTTTTATTTCCCAAGGTTTCATTAAAGTTCGATGCCAAAAAAGTAAAGACTGGATCAGTATCAACCCTTGCTGTTGAAGCTTTCAGAGGTTCCAACGTGTATGCTGTTGCTGTAGACAAGAGTACAACTTTACTGGGTGAAGTTTCAGATGACCACAGTCAAGATGTGAGTATTTTGTTTTTGGAATCCGAGACATCACATATTTGCCCTTCCTTAATACCAAGGTCTCTATTCTTCTTACCCTTTTTCAGAATGAGACATCTAACTTAATAATGCTTCCTTTATTGCAGGTTCAAGATTTCCTTCATCAATTGGATAACGGATTCACTCCATATTATGGTGGACCATGGCTGCGCGGGGGTGGCATGATTGCCTTTAGGAAGAAGAGAGAAGCTTTGCTCAGAAAGAGGCGTGAAGCCGAAAAACGATCCAAACGATCTAGTATATGGTGGCCATATCCCTTTTTCACATCCGGTACTGATGTTGAAGATATGTTTAGGGTGCGTTAGTTCCCAAAGAATTTTTCTTGGTCTCGTTTCTTCAAGTATGACTCCAACAAATATTTAGTCTCTCGTTTTTCCCACAGTTTTCTTATTGCCGCATCTGGATTCTAATATAAAAGTAGGGGATAAATTCAACAGTCTTTCGAAAACACTCTTCATCTTGATATTTTTGTTTTACAGAATACGGGATTACATGTTGTATCAGATGCTTTGATTTATCAACACAAAGAACCAAGATCCTGCTATCGAATGTACAATAGTAAGTTTCGAGAGGGAAATATGGTTTGGATGGACTAGTCATCTTTGCTAGTTTTAAGTTGTAAATGGGAACAGATTAGTGCTGGCAAGATACATCGGTGAATCGATGTACCACGATACGACATGTCACGATATGCGTGTCGTATCGCGACGTCATGTATCGATACTTGACGATACCTTTCATTCCATTACAAAATCTGTTGTAAGTTGGTGAATGAAATCACAATTTTTTTCACTGACTTGACTGGAATTACTGGATGTATTAAAACTTTGAAAATAAAATTTCAATTTTTATCCCATTACCCATATTGCAATATTTATCGTATCGTGACCACTGTATCGTATCGTGGCATGATTAGCGATGCCCAGCACTAGAACAGATAATCCTAGAATCCATTGTCTGAAGATTTGGCAAACGATAGCCGTTTGAGAGCTTCAGCAAAAACCTAAGTTTGCATCTGAGAGAAGCAATCCTCTCCTGCGATAGATACGGGCTCTTCGTTGTTTATGCTTTTAAAAAAACCATAATTTTAACGGAACGATATCGTATCAAGCGTTCTCATTAATGTTGTAGTTGTACATGTATATAATTTATCTATGAGTGCATCACAGGTAATGACATGTTTCTGGTTCTTTTTCTGTTTGTAGGATTTATGCCCATGATGGCTATGGCTGATGTAGGTATGGGAGGTCCTCCTGTAATGGAAAATGCAGCTATGGGCGGAGCTGGAGAAGATGTAGAAACCAGATCATTTTTCCCGGAAACATGGATTTGGGACAGTCAAAACGCCGGGTTAGATATTTTTTCTAATTCTTCATGCCATACATGATAATGATTGTTATATTTTCAGGAAAGTTTGCGAGAAAGTTCAAATCTTCCAATAATGTAGTTTCTTCAGCTAGTGGGTCTGTAGGCAGCGTCGACGATGAAGTCTCAACTCGCTCATTCTTTCCAGAAACTTGGATCTGGGATTCCCAAATTACTAAGTTAGTTCTTAATACGGTTTTGACAGTGGCAGTGTTCGTGTATTGCTTTGTCTGTATTACGTCTGTACATCGTGGTTTTTATTATTATTTGTTAAAGGTGACAAACTAGATCTCTTAGTTCTTAGTCCTTAGAAATGTGGTTAAATTAAACACGAAACAAAATATCTAGATACTTATGTAAATTACATTGATAAAAAGACTTGACTCATTGTAAATTTTTACCACACAGTATCCTAAATATCCTAAAGATTTTACCCTGTATTTTGTACATTATGTGGTGATGGTTGCTTTAACGTATCCCATTGTGTCTTCTTGTAGGGATGTTAGTTTCTAAAGAAATTCGACATTCTAACCCCCTTCTCCCCTCTGTGTTGTCAGCTTAATACCGATGATGATTGTCTGAAGCCAGACACCAGAAAGTTAAAATGTCAATGTCTCAGTTTCTTTAGCTTCAAATCTCCAACAGGTCCTCTATTGAAAGTCAAGGGTCGACTTGCGCAAAAAGCAACTGCAGCGTCTACAGCATTTGCCAGTATGGCAATATAAGATTAAGCAAAAAGTTATTTATGTCTCGATTCTATTTTTAGCTCAGCAGGAATCGCCAACTTTACACTCAAGGTACCAGACACCATCACAACCTGGGTTGCCAGTGCTTTTGCTATTAGTAAAAATCCTTCAATTGGAGTCGGTATGACGTCAGATGTAGCTGAGGTAAAACATTTTTGACGAAATAGAACATATTTATGAAAGAAAAGCATGAACAAATTTGATGATCGATTGAAGTACTTAACGCTCGAACAAAATGGGTTCGTAGTGCAGGAGGAAACATTTTTCAGCAATGTGTTTTTTTTTTCATTTTTTCGCAGAACCCCTACTGTACACACCAGAAATTTCATTGTCATTGTCATTGTAATCAGATCCAGTCTGCTTCACTGTCTGCATGCAACCCGATCAAAAATATGTTAAAGTAGGCTAAAAGAGCAAGGATAGTTAAAAGTGAATAACTGACTCTATAATTTATATAAAATGCATCTGATTTCAGTTGACAGTATTCAAAGAGTTTTTTGTGTCATTAAACCTGCCGTATTCTGTTATAAGAGGTGAAGAAATACGTTTACAAGCTACTGTGTTTAATTATCTTGGTTCAGCTGCCAATGTAAGTTAATAATGCTTTACAATCATTGAGTGGTATTGTGCTTTGTCAAAAAACCCTGTAAAATTTATCTGTTTTGATCTTTTTAGAAATTAGACTGTCTTTCTCAATCTAATCTGATTTCAGTTTCAAAATTATTTAATAATATTTTAGGCGGAAGTGAGACTAGAGAACCCTAAAGGTTATGTAGTTGTTAAAGTGGATAATGGTGGATTTGAATATGAATCAACACAAACACAAACAGAAACCGTTCAGGTAAGTTCCAATTATAATCTATAATATGGTACAGTGGTGGCTACAGACCTCTGGATTGGAGGGGCGACTGCCAAATTCTTTTTCGAATCCATAAACAAAAATGTATTTTGGGCCCTGGGAGACAGAGGGATGCATGGCCCTTTTTCTCTAACCCCTTTGGAGCCGCCACTGATATGGCTTTCTTTGTCGCAAAGAAAAACAAAAACAAAACGTGACAGAACTCAAACAAGACACAATGGCTGTTCGAAAATATAAACTTGACAAAAGAAAAAATTCAATTTAATTTGTCTGAAATTTGAATTTGTTAAAGAAGAACATTCTTGATGTCTGAACCAATTCATATGATTATGACTACAGAGTCCCATATGCTTTCTCATCGTTTATTCCAGGTACCCAACGACGGAACTGCCAGTGTATTCTTCACAATCCGATTCCTAGAAGTTGGTAATATTGACCTCCAAGTGTATGCAGGAACATCTGGTGCTGGTGATAGAGTTGTTAGACCAATGTTGGTCGAGGTGAGAACTCTTATCGACATATTTCGTTCTGAGGTTTGCTAGCCCGATAGCCCTTTCAGCTCATAATGTTAATTATAATCGAAATTAATTCTGCTTGGCCTTTACTTAAGTTCCTTTGGGCAATACCAGTTTGTCTCACATGTCCAATATTAATTCATAATTAGCCAAATTAGAAGAGAATTACCAGCAGAATTCAAATGAGTGACCGATCAAGAAAGGTCAAATAGTCTTTTTTGTAAACTGTACAGATATGGACATTTATGATTAGTTAAAAAGCTTATATGCATAATGACATGATTAAGCATACAGGATAATTCAATAGAGAATATTTTATGATATTTGTATAGGCTGAAGGAATACCACAAGAATATAACGAAGTAGTGTTAGTTGATTTAGATGAAAATCAAAGAAAATTTAATCAGAGTATACAGATCAGATATCCTAGTGATGTTGTTCCTGATTCACAGAGAATTATCATCACTGCTTTTGGTATGACTTTATATTTATCATTGTTTCTTACTTCATAGCCATAATTCACCTATGGAGAAGGGTTATATAGGCGAATGCCTGTTCCCTAATCCCATTCATACTTTTTATGAATAAAATATTGTTTACAAAAAAAAAATAATTCACCTATATCATTGAATATTGTGTGAATCATTGAAGGACTTGTTAGTTTGCATTAAACGCAAGGAGCACAATGCAAAATATAAATACAAGGAATGGTATCATACAGATTAAAACAGAAAGGAAAGTATGGGTAAACCTGTGTTACTTTGATGACCTCTCGACAGCTGGAAAACCAAGAAGAGTATGAATTAGAAGTTGGAATCATTGCAACCCCATTCCACTGAATAATTTGTATCTTTCATGGGAAGTTAGCCTTTTCACAGTATCATATTTACATTCGGAAAAAGATTGTCATATATAAGTCCAATTTCGTACAAATCTATTATAAATGAGCAAATTTTGAAAGTGGCAATAATATTGATAGGCAAGATGGCTGCCTAGTGTAGTACTGTGTCTTGCTCTCTGATATGTTTAGAATATCTAGAGTTATTTAGTGATTCCTATAGTTGAAAATTTACTGACAGTTACTTAAAGTTACCAGGATTACATGTTTTATGTGAAATTCGAATTTGGATTGATATTCTTGGAGTTATGTTGAATTTTAATGTGACTATTGTAATTGTTGTGATGATTACTTACAGTAGAGAGAAGCTTTTCGCTCTGAATAGTGAACTTTCTTCAGTAAGTCTTGATCAGAGTATATTCAACTTGTTACCTGAACTTTCATTAACCTTTAATAAACCAGTAAAGGTGAGAATATCTAATACAAGGAGGTCTAGAAAATGCAGAGAGGTGAACTTTAATAACCTAATTAACTTAACCCCTGATGTCATCCAATCAAGTTTCCTAACTGATCAAGCTCAGAAATCAGGCCATGGTGTTCATTTCAACATTAATAACCTAATCCAGCTCTGTTGGCTCTGCCCATGTCACTCCTAATCAATCGGCTAGAAATATAGGTGTTGTCTTTCATACGCACATGACCATGGTCACACAAATTAATAATGTATGTAAAAATTGTTTTTATCATGTCAGAAATATTGGCAGGATAAGAGAATTCTTAACAACTGATGCCACGAAATCATTAGTACATGCCTTTGTTACGTCGAGGCTAGATAATTTCAACTCGCTTCTCATTGGTTTACCAGTAAAGCACATTAATAAACTTCAAAGGGTTAAGAACACGACAGCTCGTCTGATTTCCTTAAAACGAAAAACCGACCATATCACTCTTATTCTATACGACCTCCATTGGCTCCCTATAGAATATAGACTAGAATTTAAAGTATTGTTACTTGTTTACAAATGTTTGAATGGTTTAGCTCCAAAATATCTTTCTGAACTCCTTACTCTTCACAACCCTATTCGTGTAACTAGATCTGCTCAAGACAAAACTCTCCTGAAACCTATGCCTGTAAAATTCAGCACATATGGAGAGCGATCATTTGTATATCAAGGTCCTATACTGTGGAATAAACTTCCAGTTGGGATACGTTCATGCCCCTCAGTTTTAAGTTTTAAGACATCTCTAAAAACTCATTTGTTTTTAAAGGCCTATCCTACTATAGGTCCTAATCTTTAAATTATTTAAATGTATTTAAATGTGTTTTAAATCTATTGTTAAATTTATATATTATAATATTATTTCTTTGACTTAATATTTACATCAATAATTGAATATTTTAAATTTTTGCTATTTTAATATGGATTTTATATGTTAATCTTCGTTGATTTATCTATTGTACAGAGCCCCTGAAACACTGTCATGGTGAAAGGAGCGCTTTATAAATGTTGTTAATAATAGTAATAATAATAATAATAATAATATGAATTCATCAATTTGATCTAATTACACAGAAAATGATCAATGTTTGTTGTTTCGTTTTTTCTAGGTGACCCATTAGGATCAGCACTGAACAATATTGAAGATTTAATCAGATTACCAAGTGGCTGTGGAGAACAGAACATGATCAACTTTGTACCAAATATCTATATTAGGAAATACCTTGATGCTACTGGACAATTATCTTCTTCTTTAGCTGCTAAGATCAAGAGTTATTTACAAACAGGTATACTATGAAACTCGACGAATTTTCTCCAATCCAACTACCAACTACTACGACTACCAACAACTACCTAGTTTGCGATATCAGCATCCGCTGGAAGCGAACGTCAACTTGTCATCTACCTACCTACCTACCTACCTTATGTTCTGAGGGTTATCATAGATTTGGAAGAAGATTTGTACTGTTTCCATAGTTCCTTGTTTCATTTGCCTTTTGCGCTTCCATTTTTACAAATTCTCATACCCATGAAATACTAAGACATGAAGGGTGTATCTGTATTATTTTGAGGGTATGTCATATTTTAAGCGTTAAACACCCAAATTTGTAATTGGATTATTGACCCTTCCCTTAATATTTCTCTTTTTTTTATTAAAAAAAATAGGTTATACCACAGAGTTGAGATATAAAAGATCTGACTATTCATTCAGTGCCTTTGGTGATAGAGATGATTCTGGAAGTCAATGGTTAGTTTGTTTATTTTAAGTGATGCCACTGATCACAACACCTTTATTTGTCAAGGGCGTGTAAAATCAGAAGTTGTCAATCAGTGGAATATCGATATTTCAAGATCTAATATTGATATTTATATATTAATTCATGATTGAATATCTAAAAGCCCAAACCTAAAGTTACCAACCGGGATCCTACATGCATCTCAATGAGTATCAGTAAAGCCAAGGAAAAGCCAGTTACATACAAGAGGGTGATCCACTGTTGTACTATTGTCGCTTCTGAATGATTTGTCTTTTATGTTTCCATTTCTATGGATATGATTCCAACCAATAGTTATTTTGCTTTGCTTTATTTCAGGTTAACAGCTTATGTATTGAGAACATTCATTGAAGCTAGTGCTCATATTTATGTTGATGATAGAATTCTAAGTAAAACAGCCGCGTATTTGATTTCTAACCAGAATCCTGATGGTACATTCCGAGAACCTGGTCGAGTAATTCATAAAGAATTAAAGGTATTAATTTAATTTTAAGCAAGAAGCATCCATATTTTCGAGGGAATTGAGACCTCTTCCTTCCAGCAGCTCATAATCTAACCTTTTGACAGTGATCAATATTGCAATCCTCGTAATCATCTACTGCTTGGTCGACTGACGACAGAAATAAAGTGGAGTACATCTTTTACAAGGTCACCAAAGTTTCGTAAGCCGACCCAGCCGACTGATCAAATATCTTGTAAAACACACATGCAAAACCTGGGAATACGAGATTTCAAGTAAGCTCTTGTTTAAATATTGTCTGTAAAGGCAATAATGTATGTTGAAATAAGTGAATATTATTTTAGGGAAGTTCGTTCGAAGGTGATGGTTTAAATGCATTTACCTTGATTGCTCTTTTGGAGGTCAAAGATAAAAAGGTAAGTTGTATAAAGAAATCTATCTCATATTATATGACCATAGCTGTTTTAAATAGCTCGACGTTTCCAATAGGCATTGGTAAACTAAATAAAGTTAAATCTTTTGTTATGTCTTTTGTAACAAAAGCAGTTTTAACGTTGGCCCAGATCAACGACTTTTAGCTGGCGGCAACTGGTAAAAGTGTTTCATCTGAGTCTTTCACAGCCTGTCAAATGATGTCTTGCAACACCAAGTCTGTAGGATAAACTTATCAAAATATCAAATTCTCATAGGGAACCCTTCTTTATCTCATGTTGTTAAATGTATTTCAGAGATATTTGTACACATAACAACACAATCTCTTATATTTATATCTATAATGTAGGTAACAGCTGAAGCAATAAAATCATCTGTAACTCAACTTGAAGCAGCATCAGCAACTATGACTAATATCTACGACCTAGCTATCACAGCATATGCCTTACATAAGGCTGGTAGTAAATATGCAGCTCAACTTTTAGCTAAACTAGAGTCTAAACAGACATCTCAAGGTAAGGAACGTACCAAGCTTTTAGTTGTTCCAAACGTTTTCTGTGATCATTTCCCGCTCGTCAGCTATTATGATAAGTTGAAATTTAGCTGTTACTGAGATACGGCTTTTTATACTTAGATGATACTAAGGTTATTTAAATGTATTTTTGTAGATGGTATGGTATATTGGGACGTAGTTGTTGAATCTGACAGAGCTCAATATTATTGGAATCCACCACATAGAAAAAGCAGTCCAGTTAATATTGAGGCTACAGCCTATGTTTTATTAACTTATGCTGAAATGAAAGAAAAATTAAAAGGCTTGCCTATTTTGAGATGGTTGATTTCCCAGCAAAATGGAAAGGGTGGTTACTCTACATCCCAGGTATGACTCTAGTAATGTTGTCCCTATGTTGCACTGGAAATGAGTATTTTTGTATTTTTGAATATAGCAGGTTGTATTCCCACCCAATCAATGAATCAAAACATAAAAATCAAAATCAAAAGAAACAAAAACATTACTGATAAATATATATATATATATATATATACATTCTTCAGTGACGAAACCCACAAAATTAGATCCACTAGTTATTATGGATATGGTCATTCAGATTAAAATGAAAATCGTGTTTCGTGTGTTTGTAAGCTGCTACTCCTACCTCCGATGATGTGGCTAGATTCTTTTAAAATCGTATTTTTGGATTTTTAGACCCATTAGCATCTCAAATTGTCTCAACCAACCAAAAACACTTTTAAAATTGGTTAGATAAAACATATCAATGATTAACAGTAATGTTTGAATATTATATGAACCACACAAAACAATGCAAACAATTTCGTCAGATCATGGATGGCAAAGAAAGAGGTAAATTGGAGTGTAAATGTTTCATTCTTTTAACAGGATACAGTTGTTGCTCTTCAAGCTCTGTCTGAATATGCTACAAATCTCTCTAGTGGTAATTGGGATGTCACCTTGGATATATTTGTCTGCAGAGAACGAAAACGATGGAAGGTTTCCAAGAGCTCCGCTACTATTCAAAGGAAATGGGTGGTAAGTAAATCATTATCATCATGATTTGATATTGCATTATGATTTATGTAGGTAATCTTTTGAGTTACTATAGGCTTGTCTCTTTGCTGGATGGAGGCCGGTACCCACGATGGGCTAGTGAGCCGGGATTACCTCCTGAAAAATTCTGACCACCGACCAATTCCATTATTGCAACTAAAACTACTTGTCCCTCCGAACAATCAAGTCTGGCTACGATGTTAACTTGATGAACATCTGATCGGGTCATTGTTTTGAAAGACTATTCCAATATTGCAATAGTTGAATACTTGTATGGACATATTTGTTTATGTTTCGATTTTTTTCAGACCAAAGAAACGACATCCAGTGTTGATATTGTAGCTAGAGGTCAAGGCCGAGCTGTTGTCATGGTAAGTCATAAGTAATAGTTGTGTCCAAAAACCGTTTTTTCAATATAGAGTTAGATGCTTTTTATGCGCATGTGTACACTCATTTTGAACTCTCTTACAAATATTACGAATATATTAAAAGGTCATGTGCACATCTATTCATTGGCAACAAAGGGTCTCAAATCCCACAAATGTTATTTCTTATCGAAAAGTTGAAGTGGTTATGCCAATAATGTTGAGCAGGCTTTTAAAATTTATTATCATGGTTCCAATAATTAACGAACGTACATACTAATTTATATTTAATGAATAATGTTTATATTATAGTCTACAGTAAAATACAACATTGCTGAAGTAATAGTTAAGTCAACCTGGGGTCTTCGTGTTGCTACAGAATCTGAAACTAAAGATGTTCTTATTATCCAAGCATGCTTCGAGTAAGTAAACATGCCTCTCTTCATAAGCAAAATCAAACAACAAATTTGCAAAATGCGGTTTGAGAGAGAATATTTTTTCTTTAATACAGTAAAAGTCAATTGTATAATATATTGTAGGTAATAAGTCAGTCTAGAATACATAACTTAGAGTTCGGTTTCCAACGACCAAAGTATTTGTCAACCTTTGAACCAATCAAATTTAATGTCAAGGCAAGTCCTCTCAGTGGCGGTCCGCCATTTGTACTGATCACATGATATGATCGACGAAAATATACGCACGTTAAAATTCGCTACTTTTCCCCCTTCGTAACGGCTCGTAAGTGAGTGGAGATGGGTCCCAAAACGAACGAATGGTCTTCCTGTCTCTCAACCATAAACTATTTATTTGGTACTTATTAAAGAATAATATCGTGTAAGTGCTCGTAGTTAATGTTTGCCCAATGCTTGAACGACGACCATAATTGGTTTAATGACTTCTAAGAATTTTAATTGTTTGTACCTGTAGATGGACTGTTAAGGGAGAATCAAGTGGTATGTCTCTACTTGAAGTCGGTTTGTTAAGTGGTTACACGGTGGATGAAGTTCCTCTTAATGAAAATAAACTCATAAAAAGAATGGAAACAGCGAAGAAAAAATTCACCTTATATATTGATGAGGTGAGATTGATAATACTGTTTGTTTTCTAGTGAATTAAATTTCAAATGAAAGAAGTCCCGAGAGATACGTTGTCAACTTCTTAGGAAGCATACTTAGTATCGCTCTTGTGAACTCGCCAGAACTCAATATGAATATGATGAGTGAATGTCATCATTAAACTCTATTTTATAGGTGGGCAATAAACCAATATGTATCAAACTGCGATTAGTGAAAGCAGAAATTATTGGAAAATTAAAACCCGGTTTTATCAGCATAATAGATTACTATAATCCAGAAAATAGTGCTACAGCTTCTTATAAATCTACATTGGGTGAAGGTGCTCCAGTGTGTGCTCTCTGTCCACAAGGAGCCTGCGGAGATTGTGTGGTAAGTCAAAAATTCAGATCTTTACAGCTATCATGCAATCTGTAAATTTCGTATGTTGTCATATAGTTTTCGTTTCTCTTGGTGCATTTCAAATAGCTCTTTTACAATGAGCATTGACTTTCAGTTAGCATGTGAACTGATCCAAAGCAAATTATTAGCACATGTTGCTACTTTCTAAATTGTTTAATTTTACGATTAATTTTAACCTGAATCCAAAATGTGGTCAATGTTGTCGCAAGTTGTATATTATGCTAGAAATCGACATAATGAGAGATTAAAAACTCATAACTTGATATATTTAAATACTCTATTTCAGGTTGGAAAGAAGCGATAAATGAATACATAAATACACTGAAAGTCCTTGTATATTTCAAATTAAATTAAGTATTTCAAATATTTTTGATGTCTTATTTAATTCATGTGTATGTTTGAATTATTTGAATTCGTCCATATTCTTTTGGTCGACCCCGAATGAGACAATAAACCGAGGCCCAGACTGATCCCTCGACAGTTGGAAACCACGACTATTGAATGGTAGCCATAGTTTAACGGTACTATGTTCAGATTGACACGATAATACAAGTGTTTGTAAACAAAGACAATAGAAACAAAGACTTCGTTAGATTCAAAATGATAATATAATGTATTAGTTGATGAACCGACAGTCATTGCATTAAGTAGGCGGTGTCTTGAATCCTCCGCCGAGGCTCACTGCCTCTCCCATCCTAGTCATTTGAGACTTGATATTAGCGAATTGAAAAGCAGGTTTTTCGGATCCAGGTTGTAATAAAAAGTTAGAAAGTTTTTATTACGTATGACGAAACGAAACCATAAATAAATCTTGTTCTTGTCCAACATGTTTAGCAGTCCCACTGTGGCGAGTTTGAACGTGAATTAAAGTAAGCGCGCCATGTTATCTTTTTTAAAATTTTACTCGTGAGTAGAGATAATGTCGGCGACTGCATTTTCGTCTTTCTGTTGTTAAAACGTAAATAGGCCTATAGTCATAGATCTGTAGGTCTAAATTTAAATTTCCTCGAATTTTAAATATTGTAACATTGCCACTAGAGCTTTCTCAATTTTAGACTAGCGTAGAGGCAGAAATTCTAGATGCTCCACTTTTATTGCATAGCGATAGTATGTTTCGATTAAGAAAGCGCCAGAAGTCTTCCAAAAGGCTCGGGTCGCAAAATTGTAGGCCTACGATTTTGGGTTGTAAGTCGGGAGGCTCGACCCAGAATACACAACGAAATCTACTGTAAATAAATGAAAGTAAATAAATATACTGAACAGAAATGTCGCAAAGTACAGAAAATAGTGAACTGCTTTTTCAAATGGCAATAGTTCAAAAGATTATTTTCAGAAAACAACTGCCTTTGGTACAAAGGATTGTTTGAGTGTCTAACATTATAATTCCATATCGAAGATCTGATCACGTGATCTCCACAGGTGGAGGCTGGATGTCAGTACCTAGTGTATCCAACTCGAACGTTTATAACGGCCTGGCATCATAAATACGAGAAATGGCAAAAACGGATTACAGACGCCGGACAAGTTCTTTTTGGTTTTTGGTCATTGCAGTGCGTACATGGGCGTTGTCATGCTGGAAGCTATGGTTTCGGAGACTTGCAAAATGACGTACAACGTGAGTTCCAAGTTTATGATTGATGCCGATTGAACTCAATTACTGTCGGTGCCGATGTGGTGAATCTATCATGCAGATGTTGACGTAGGGGGAAGCGATCTTGTCTTGGTGTTGTGACTCGGGACAAATATTCAGTTCGTACGCTACAGTTTAAAGGTGTCTTCACAAAGCAAATGAATTCCCAGTGGGGTGATTTTTAGACGGATCCTCGATTTTACTGTGCATCACTGGTAACCTGGCCCACGACCATTTCTCACTTTCTATGGTTTACAGCTGTTAATTCGAACGCAAACGGTATTATCAGGTGAATGTCATAAACTGGTTTATTTTAAGTCTAAAAATCTTACTTATGAAGAAAAAAAAAAAATAATAGTGCCTGATTAAAATTATTATTTCGTAATAATCCTTCAGTGCAACGTTTCTTTATCTGTTCAGTACATCAAAAGATTCAAACTACATCAGCATTATGAATATCTTAACAAGATCTTAACAAGATCTTAACAAGATCGTAAATATAAGAAAAAAAAATCGCATTTTTGTCACTGTAAAATCATTCTTGACAGCTTCCAGTAGACGTATGTCATGCTTACAAACATATATTTTGTCCGTAATAATATAAGCGACTAAAATGTTAATACCCGGGAGAACGTGCTTGATTTGACTAAAGGAATTTCAATATCAAAATTCTTCTGAATCATGAATAAAGGATAGTTTGAACTTTTAATCAAGTGAAATCTACTGGGGAAAGCAAATGACTACCGATCCGTGAAAGTCATTCCTTATTTGCTACATGAAAGCTGATGAAAGCACTTAGAGGGGTATTTTTCTTTAATTTAAACGTTAAGAACCGAACAGAAATCATTGCGCTCCGCCACGAAGCACTGAAACGGCACGTCTTGTCACGACCTCTGCTCAACATTGTGGGGGCAAAATTCGTGCAAGTGTCAGTGTGGCATAAACGGTCTCTATCACGTTCACATCAACCTTATTATACAGCCGATATCATCATTCAATGTTGTACAGAGCACATCGCTAAGTCCTGCTAGAAGGGAATGTAAAAAAGGTAATTTCGACCATGGTTAATCTGACCATTCTCAAGGAGCAAGTTCATCAGCATCTCCGGATCAACCTTCAAAACGTAAACGCTGTAGACCTCAATGAGGCGTTTTTTGAGGAATAACAAGCTAACCAAATCGTAGTTAATTTGAGACATTTGTCAGCAAAAAGTCCTACAATCATAATTGAACCCTGATATATAGCAGATATATCATCAATATGCTTCCGGACATCAGAAATCAACTGTATAAACGGACATGATTTCGTCGGTTTTGATGATTAAATTTTTGATGACAGAATTTAGATTACAATCAATTATCGAAGTGTCTCAACAGGAGACTTCTGTTGCAAGACTAATATCTAAGATAGTAGTTTTATCAAGCTCGAGGACCAAACTTGATTTAGGTGTACAACCACCACAATTTCCCCCACATTTAATATCTATGACATTATTGCTTATCCTGTTGATATAGAAGGTACCAGGCATATATCCATATGTGATCCAATTTGTATCAGGTTTTACCATTAGTCCGGTATCTCTTGTGTCAATATTTAGAGTACCATGAGGAATATCTGGACAGTCTTTCCCCATACAGTCAAATGTTGTTCCATACTTTTGATTGTTTCCCAAAAGAAGTTCCATAAATTTGACATCATTACCATCTATTTCCAAATTTGAATTAACTCTAATTTTTCGAAATATAGCTTCTCCAAATGATTCGTGAGTGTTCTTATTATAAGAACATTCCCTTGTAAGTTTATAACTTGGACTAGTGATTCTATTTTCATGAATTAAAGTGACGTATTCTGTTGGAGCTGTGGTATTGAGACCGTCACAGTAGATTTTAACCCTCTCTGTATTATTATATTGTAATGGATAAAGCCAAAATTCTCCATCAGTATAATTTTTCTCACATTGTTTAATTTGTAAACAGGAGGATATTTTTCTACACTGTCCACCTATCCAATGTCCATTCTGTTCACAAATCAACGTCACGTCTTCTCGAACTACCCCAGGGCCCGAACAAGAGTACTTTGCAGTGGATCCTAAAACAGTCTCTTCATATCTTTTATCATTTCCAAATACAACAGATGGGGGAATGCCACAGTCAAATATAACACACAGTGCTGTTCCAGAATCAAGAAGGCACTTGTAATTATTTGGACATGAATGAGATTTACAAGCATCTAACAAAATCATCTGAAATTCCGATTTTTCGGTGTAAAGAACATCAGCGTTGGACACAAGTGGAAATGAAACTCCACTAACGTTTCTATTGAGATCACACCAGCCAGTCTTTATATTAAAATTCAACGATAAACAGTTAGTTTGATATAAGCATTCCTTGCCACAGTTCATTAAAGACGATGTCCTAATCTTTTGAATTATCAACCCATTTAACTGTTGATACAAAGCAACATTGCGAAGCATTGAAACGTCTAAGCACGTATATTGTGTTGACACAATAATGTTTTGTATTACAAGAATAAACAGGCGCACAGTGCCTATCTTTACCATAGTTCTGAAGAAGATTTCTTCGCTTATTCTTGTTGATATTAGTTCAGAACTAGGAGGATATCTACGTGATGTTGATTAATCTCGCTAGTCTATTGTCAACAATTCTATTTTATAACTATCTTAACAAAAACGTTATATTCCATTTAGATAATCATACCATACATGTATTTCACAATTGCACAGATAACCAAAATTCGCTAATCGTACCGTAAGTAATTTTCATCGTCGGATAAATTTTAACGATTTTTCTGAAATATTTCTAGTCTCTTCGCTAGTCACGTATTTATAAAATATGTATTCTAGTAAAACGATCTATATTCTAGTATGTCTATATTCTACCAGACAAGATGACATATGTCTAGAAACAGCTTTAATACACTTTATAGAGAGCCCTTTTTCGTAATTCTCATTATAGTCAGAGGGATAACCTTGAGAAAAAACGGTTCCTAGGCTAAATTTTTGATTTGCATAACAAAATGGTCGCCATAATATCAATTATCAATCAAGACTTTTAGAAACTTTACCAAGGTTTGAAAACACCCTATAAAAACACAATACAAACAGATTGACTGGAAGGCGTTGTCACTGAAAACCCCATCCATGATACCCCAGACCTGTTCTATGGGGTACATGTCGGGCGAACATGCCACGGCGTTGATATTGTTGACTCCAAGGAAGTTGGTTATGATGGGGTACGGGTGTTGTACGTAGCCAACATGCAAATATGAGTTGTTTCCCTTACTTACTTCTTCAGTTAAAGAGAGTACTTTTAGTTGTGTTCCCTGTAATCTACTTCCTGTAAAAAACATGTCTACTGCATTCATATAGATTAAAAGTTTAAAACCTCGACCAACTCTTTATATGATTTGTACTCAATCATTACATGGTGGCTGGGTGAATTATACTTTACAATAAAAGGCATCACTGGAAAAGCCCAGGTGCCACACATCCTTTTTCAAGTAGGTGATGAAGGTTTGAGACGATACAACTCATGGACGTTGACAGAACAGAAAACAGATCCAAAGATTATCTTTGACAGATTTCAACAGCAATTAGAACCGCCAGAACACTTTCGAGTCAGTAGAATGAAGTTGATGTAAACTTATCGCCAAGAACCAGGTGAATCCTTAGATGACTTTGTTAATAAATGTACACTTCAAGCCCTGAAGTGTGACTTCACATCAGAAGAATTAAGTGAAAGAATTCTTGAACTGATTATAAGAAGTACACCCTTTCCTGAATATCAGCTAGAGAAAGAGAAAGGTTTTCCACTGTCTGATGCCCTGACACTAGGAAGAACCTATGAAGCAGCACATTTCCAACATATCAGAAGTATGACAGGTCCACCTGCTACCGCATCCGTACAGACAATCAAGTCTTCAGCCTCTCATGAATGTAGGAACTGTGGCAGATCACATTCACTCAAGGACAGAAAAGATTGCCCTGCATATGGTACAGTTTACAAGAGTTATGGCAAGAAAAATCATTGGGCTGTAGTATGTCGTTCAAGTTCGAACAAAGACAACTAATCTAGAGGCAGATCAAAGTCAAGATCAAGACGTCCAAGATCAAAACTGCAGAACACTAATGACACCAACGTTGACTTAATCTCACAGAACAGTCAATTTTCATCAAGTCATCCAATATAACGAGGGTTTGATCAACTTAGATTTAATGCTATCACAGCCTCTTCACTTTGTTTCAAAGCATCGAAACCTGGTGAAGCTTTTGCTGATATTAATGTCATCATACCTCAACGACCAGGATCGCATAATCCTCAGCTTGAAGGTTGACACTGGAGCTCAAGCAAACTGAGAACGTTTCGTTGCATGTGTCCAACATTGCTTACAACTGAAGGATATCCAGTTCCGTCGATTCAACAAAGAGATAGCCAAACACGACTGACAGCATATAATGGTACAGAAATCAAATGCTATGGAACGATCAACCTAGATTGTCAATTCAAAAACTCTGCGTGGATAAAAACAACCTTCTACGTTGTTGATGCAGATGGTCCACCCATCTTAGGTCTTCTCTCCTGCACAGAATTGAACCTACTTACTCTCCATTGTGCTATTACAGCATCAAAGAAGTTGCCAGCTATCAACAGTGTAACTGATCTGAAAGAACAATATCCACAACAGTTTGATACAATTGGTTGTTTCCCTGGAGCAGTTACTCTTTCTGTTGATCCAGATGTTCCACCACACATTGACCCACCAAGGATAACGCCTATAGCTTTACGTGACAGTATCAAAGCAGAATTGGACCATATGGTAGACCTTGGAGTTATTCTTAGCGTTACAGAACCTTCTTCTTGAGTTTCCAGCTCAGCATACTCCAAGAAAAAAGATGGTAGTCTCAGAATCTGTTTGGATCCAAGGCGACTGAATAATGCTCTGCGTAGACCTTACTATAAGATACCTACAGTTGAAGAATTAACTCATCACACCGCAGGAGCAAAGATATTCAACAAACTTGATGCCAAAACTGGATATTGGTCTTCTTTCAACGATTACCTTTTGGTTTGTCCGTGTCACAAGACATCTTTCAACTTAAGATGGTATCAAATTATTGACCAGGTCGAAGGAGTTGTAGGAATAGCTGATGATGTTGCTATATACGCTGCTACAAATGATGAACATGATCGCATCTTACACAAGCTCATGAAAGTCGCTTCTGAAAACGGTTTAATTTTCAATTCCAAGAAATGTGTCATAAAACAGAAGAAAATTTCCTTCTATGGTGTGAATTACACAGATCATGGTGTTCATCCAGATCCAATGAACATACAAGATTTGCACAAAATGGAAAGACCCACTTGCAAGAAAGAAGTACAAGAATTTCTTAGGTTCATCACATACATGTCATCCTTCATCGAAAATTTATCCGCCAAGTCTGCACTACTACGAGATCTTCTTAAGAAAAACATAGAATTCATATGGGAAGATCATCACCAGAAATGCTTTGAGCAGCTTAAAGACATTGTATTTGAACACTCAGTGTTACAGTACTTTGATACAAGCATCACTCCACATCTTCAGACAGACGCTAGCATTAGAGGCCTTGGAGCTACACTTCTCCAGAACAGCAAACCTGTAGTATTCGCATCGAAATCATTATCTGACGCTGAAACCAGATACGCATGTATAGAGAGATAGCTAGCTATTAGCTATAGTCTTCGGTGTTCAAAGGTTTCATACATATCTATATGGTCGTCACTTTCATTACAGATCACCAACCACTGGTAACCATCTTGAACAAACCTTTAACCACTGCACCTCCACGACTACAGCGAATGATGTTGAAATTACAAGGCTACAATTTCCACATTGAATACTGCAAAGGCAAAGATATGCTTCTTGCTGACGCTCTTTCCAGATTGCCAAATGACAATAACAAGGATTCAATTGAATTAGATGTCAGAGTTGACTTCCTACTCAGTGTACTTTCCATGATGCTACAAGGAAAGACCCCGTACTGAATGAACTTATCGATTATATCATACAAGGATGGCCGGAGCACATCAAACAACTTCCATCCAAACTTCGTTCCTATTGGTCATTTCGACATGAATTCTGTTGTTGATGGAATTGTTATGAAAGGACAAAGAGTCATAATTCCAGATTCAATGAAATCAGATATACTGAATCAGATATACTGAATCAGATATACTGAATCAGCTACATTTAGTCATCAAGGCATTGAGAAAACCAAACTACGTGCCCAGAATTCTGTTTACTGGTATGATATAACGAAAGATATTGAAGCTCTTGTAAAGAACTGCAGCATATATCAAAAGCACCTTCCAGCTCAAACTTCAGAGACTTTGTTACCCCATGAAGTACCACATCATCCTTGGGAAATCCTAGGTACTGATTTATTTTACTTTGATCAGCACGAATACCTTATTGTTGCAGATTATTACAGCAAGTATATTCTTATTCGTAAACTTCCTGTGAACTACACTAGCCATAAGTCACTTAATACAGATCCTTACGGAATATGGGATTCCATCACGTCTTATAAGCGACAATGGACCACAATTCTCATCAGAAAGTTTCAGAATCTTCAGTCAAACTTATTGCTTTGAACATGATACATCATCACCAAGATTTCCACAATCTAATGGATTTGTTGAACGGCAGATACGCACAGTAAAAACTACACTTCAAAAAGCTAAAGAGGGGAAAAGTGATCCAGATCTTGCATTATTATGTCTACGATCCACACCTATACATAGCAGTTTCCCTTCTCCAGGTGAACTTCTTATGGGGAGGAAACTTCGCTCAAACATGAGTATCCCTCATAAACCTCAACCATTCATTACTGTGCCAGACAATGTCAGAGAACAATTGCAGACTCAACAAGAAATCCAGAAAACACAACACGATAAAATGTCAAAAGATCTAACTCCATTGGTAACATCACAAGCAGTTCTACTTAAAAACTACAAAACTGGTTTGTGGGAACATGCTACAGTTACATCAAAGTGTAACCAACCAAGATCATACATCGTAACAACACCAGATGGAAAATCATTCCGAAGAAATCGAATACATCTTCGAGAAGTTCCAGAGAAGATAACAAGTCAGAAACGAGTCCGCCTTACTGATATCAACACTCAGAGATCGATAACACCTAAAACACAAACACATCAACTACCAGATTTGGATGTATTACCACGTAACATGGAACCTGATCCACCAACTGCTATACGATGTGAACCCAAAAACAATCAAAGAACACAAACAGATAATAGACATGTTATTCGTTCGGGTCGAATTGTTAAAAAACCACAAAAATTTACTTATTGTGTATGTATTATTTTTATCTAATAAGGGGGATGTTGTACGTAGCCAACATGCAAACATGAGTTGTTTCCCTTACTTACCCCTTCAGTCAATGAGAGTACTTTTAGTTGTGTTCCCTGTAACCTATTTCCTGTAAAAAACATGTCTACTGCATTCTTATAGATTAAAAGTTTAAAACCTCGACCAACTCTTTATATGATTTGTACTCAATCATTACAACGGGGTCCGGCGTAGTCATGTGGATAAATGACACCATTTCTCCAACAGTCATATGGTAAGACTGTCGGGCGAAGAATATCATTAACGTAACGCTGGGCTGTCAAATTGCCATTAAAGATAACCAGTGGAGAGCTCCCCTGTCCACGATTTCCTCTTGAACGCAACATGCCGTCGTCCGTTCACCATTTCGGCCATAAACACTATGCCTCTCGTTATCTCTGAACAAACAGAGCTTTCTTCGCCGATGACGTCACTTTCAGAAAGTGGTGTGGTCACCCTGTTCTGCTCGTTCTCAGCCTATTTGGCGTGTGTCCTGTCAGCCTGTAACGTTACAATAACACAGGATCAACCGAAGGTTCTTTGGATGTGATCATGGGTCGCTCCCATCCGAACCATTCATAGATCTTATGATTTTTTATACGCCCACATGAAATGGGGGGCGTATATTGCCGTCACCCATGTCCGTCCGTCCGTCCTTGGTATGAGTGTTCGTAATCGTCAAAGGATGAACCCTATTGAAAATCAGAATAATCGAAAAATATTTAGTATGAGTTATTGCCCTTGTTCTTGAAAACGCGTTCAATTTTTAGCTCGTAAACACTCTAGAAGGCACAATTCTTGATGGATTTTGACGAAACTTGGCATGAGTGTTCAAAATCAAAGCTGCCAGTGGGCGTATATTACCGTGCCTGGCAAGCTATCTTTTTATCGTTGTGTAATGCTGGCATGCCATTCAACCCGTTTGTATCCATCTTGCATTTGCATTATATTGTATTCAAGAATCACATGATTTTTACTTTGGATAACATTTATTTTTGATTAATTATGATCAGGAAATGACACGGAGACATTTATAATGGAACTAATCAGTAATTAAACGGATTGTAAAGAAGTTTTCTTAACTTGTAATGTGTATTGGGGACACTGATAGCATCAATTTACATCATTCCAATTTTCATTCCGACGTCACAAAGTGATGCTATCCCTTTAAGAATTATATAACCAGCTTCCGATGTATTTGTAAAACAAAAGTGTGTCAGTCTTAATGTTTTCCTTTGAATCTGGTTGTTACTGGTAACACCAAACAAATCCATTGTCTTGTTACAATTATCTTGGATCTTGGAGTAATGACTGCGGAATATAGAAAACTATAGCGTGCGTCGACAATCAGTGCCGCTCGACTCTACATAGCAACCCGCTCGATCAATTCCATGTCAGTAGCGGGCCACGATTGTAGCGAAATTATTATGCCATAATATTAAATTAGATCTTGATCTTCCAGACAAATAGCTCCGCATATACAGTTAACTTCCTTGATGTCAAAATCATCATCAAAGTTCTCAAAATCAACGGGATCAATCTCGAAATCGCTATCGGTTAGCCCGAGCTCATTTGTTGTCAACATCAGTTTGTACTTGGCCTAAATCACGTTACTTACACGCTAAAGGATTCACGTGACGCGTTGATTGACAGCGGCACTAATCGGTAGCATTACGAGGCGAGGCGATGTTCCTCCGGTCAGTCATTACTCCAAGCTATTATCTAACTTATTAACGCTATCTATTTTTCAGAGGATACATGATTAAAAGAAAATTAAGCCAATTCTGATTAAATAACACAGAGTTTAACGGATGAATCGTGCTTCCAAATAATGGTGATCGTAAGTGTTTGAAAACAAATACAAGGAAAATAAAAATGTCGTAAAATATGGATTAAAACTGATAATAATAAGATAGCCAGGCAAGGTTATATACGCCCAATAGCAGCTTTGATTTTGAATAAGAACTTCACATAGAAATTTGGCAGTGCAGTTACAATCACCAGTATGAAATATTCAACCTTTAGCTATACCTTAAGCGGCCCATACACGATCAATAATATCGCACAATAGTATTGCGTGAACTGACATTGCGCAGTTATATTGACCGTGTGTGGGTGATATTGAAGGCTTGCACAATAGTAGTGTGCAAGCCTCAGAATTTCTAAATCTGGTAGAAATTTTCAGGCTTGCGCAATTATTTCATTTACAGTGTGTGGGATTTTTCAATTATATCGTGCAATATATTCATTTTACACGACCGGTCGTCGACCCCTATACCGCCTCCTGAGGAATCCCCACATGGAGTCGCTGAATATTTCTCTTCTTTTGTACCATGAACCAAACAGTATTTGAAAAGATTAAATTAGCAGTTGCTCCACAGAAATGTTGGAGACTTTGTTTTGTTAATTGATTTCACAGTTTTTATGTTTTATGTGTATTTATTTTATGATATTATCCAAATGACACTTTTTTTATTTCTATAATTTCTAGAAAAGAAATAATATAAACCAAATTTAACTGAAATTGTGTTTTATGCTTACCTTAATATATGGTCCTTAATATATGGTCGATGACGATTTTCCCTATGGCCTGAGGTGATATAGCTGTGTTGAATTTCAAATCCTGGAATGAATTTCCTGTAGCCAAATACCGTAGCGTAACTGAAAGTCGCTCATTGGGGGAAATTGGATCTCGCATGTTTGTCTTTTGTTTTTCAATTAAAGGTGTTATCATATCTAATAGTTCATCAAAACTGTTTGCGTCCATTCTCAAGAAATTCTTGAAATCCTCCGGCTCATTGGTTCGCAATTCAAGCAATAATGACTGGTTGCCGAACTTACGTCCACGCTCTAGAAACCATTGTTTTGCCCAAATCCTTCGTCTGCTCCGTTTTCTACGTCTAGAAGCAAATATCAACGCGATAGCGATCGATGCATCCATTCTGGTCGAAGTTTAAAGTAGAAATGATGCACTTTTGCTCAATACTATTGTGCGATTTGATTGAATCGTGTGTGTCGGTCAGAAAAATAACTGAATTCGATTGTGCAATATTATTGTGTAATATAATTGATCGTGTATGGGCCGCTTTAGACGAAACTTGGTAGTTTTGTTCATTATCACCTCAAAAAGTTCGAAAGCTGGCAGGAATTGTAAATTTAGGCGCTTATAGCTAAAACGCGTTTTCAAGAACAAGGGCAATAACTCATATCAAATATTGTTCGATTTTTATCTTATTTTAAATAGGGTTCATCAATCCCTTCTAGAGTGTTTTACAGCAATTGTTGACGGACCAGCGGACATGGTTGGCGCCATTATACGATAATCGATAGTCACGATGTAACATTAAATGCATAAGTAAGTGTAAGGTTTATCTCCCAAAGGCTCTTAGACAAATCACTGCTAAATAGCAAAGAGTAAAGAGTCTCCCGCAAGCATTCATTAGCGAAACAGATTCAGCTTTACGGAAACTGCCGAGGATTGCTGAATGTCACGTCAGTACAACTATCCATTCGTACCAAGATACAAGACCGATTTTCAAACATACTTCATTCTAATTGTACAGAGCACATCACTACGCTGTGTAAGAAAGGAACAGCTAAAAAGGTCTAAGCATGTGCAGTCAATGTTAAAGGCTGAGGAAATACCTATTCAAGTCGTAAAACACCTTTAAAACTAGTAAGTATCACTCGAAGGTAATCTGACCATTCTCTCGTTGAGGCTGGTGAATCTGATCCTCATCAACCTCCAAACTGTAAACGTTTGTGGGTGACTGCGGACCTAAATGAGGAGTTTTCGGGGGACAATAAGTTATTGTACAACAAGATTATCGGGAACAGAATAAGAAGCATGAGAATGAGATTGGCATCCTTCCTCATTTCCCTTCAAACTACTTCACACCTGGCACGATTCCGTATGGACAAACCAACAAAATTAATATCTCAAGTTTTTAGTATGATCGAGAAAACTAGAACCGACAGCGACTGCACCGTATCCTATCGTACCTGTTCTCAATGCAAGTATATAGGGACACATGGTCATGTCAGGCCAAGATCGCTGATTCAATCGAAACAGTCCTATCGGCCACCTGTTACCTTGAGGAACTGTCTAAATATTCCAGATTATGAATACTTTTGATTAATCTATAAGCCTGGGGTTAAATTTTCATTCTGAAGTTGACACAATGTCATAAGTTCAAAGTTGAAACCAAAATGGAGCAAGTAATGCAAGTAAAAGATAATAAATGCCAAGAAAGCACTTCCCAATCTTTTTCATTCTTTAACGATTTGAATAGCTTCGCCGTTACGACACGGTGTTTATTAACTCATCTAACCTAAGATATATATATTACTGCTATTCATAAATATGAATACTAAAAATTTAATCAAATCAAATCTGGCATTGCTTCAACAGGAGACTTCTGTTGCAAGATAGAACTTTCATCAAGCTGGACGACCATACTTGATTTAGGTGTACAACCACCACAAAATCCCCCACATTTAATATCTATGACATTATTGCTTATCCTGTTGTACCAGGCATATATCCATATGTGATCCAATTTGTATCAGGTTTTACCATTAGTCCGGTATCTCTTGTGTCAATATTTAGAGTACCATGAGGAATATCTGGACAGTCTTTCCCCATACAGTCAAATGTTGTTCCATACTTTTGATTGTTTCCCAAAAGAAGTTCCATAAATTTGACATCATTACCATCTATTTCCAAATTTGAATTAACTCTAATTTTTCGAAATATAGCTTCTCCAAATGATTCGTGAGTGTTCGTATTATAAGAACATTCCCTTGTAAGTTTATAACTTAAAGCCAAAATTCTCCATCAGTATAATTTTTCTCACATTGTTTAATTTGTAAACAGGAGGATATTTTTCTACACTGTCCACCTATCCAATGTCCATTCTGTTCACAAGTCAACGTCACGTCTTCTCGAACTACCCCAGGGCCCGAACAAGAATAGTTTGCAGTGG